GAGAATATGGTAAATAATATTTGTTTTCTTCTAAAAATATGTTCATCTTTTGTCATCAAATGTTTAATGTATCGGTGTGTTTCTTTATGCTTTCATATAAAGCCGCGTAAGTGAAATAGTTATTTGCCCATTATAACATTATTTTTACCATTATTAGCCTGTTATTGTTCTATACTGCAACAATAATAACAATATAAAAAACAAGTGGCTTGCAATCATTGACGAATTTTAATAGGTTTTTTTCTTTTTTTATTATTATATTCATTAAAAGGAGGTATCCATTAAAATAAAAAAGAAATTTATTTTTTTTTTTATTTTCAAAGAGGAGTTAATCTATATTTACCCATGAAATGGAGAATTTTAGATATTCTCTCTATGCTTTGCTAGAGCATCAATATTAGTGTGATGTTCGATTTTAAATAAATCAGATTTCAAAATGAGAGACATGCGAATTCAAAGATAGAATGTCAGACGATGAATAACATACTTTTTGTTATAAAAATAATAATATAGTTTTTACAATTCATTAAAGATTTTTCTATATTACCAGTATAGATACCCTTCTTCTCCATTTTTTTCAGAGAATCGTCAGACAAATAATAATTTCTTTTCAAGAGTTCTCTTTTTTTAACGGCTGATATCATATCGTCCTCTTGTAAGTTATAAGAATTTTTTTTGTTTTGTTCGAAAAATTATTCGAGAATAGAAGTGTTTTTTTTTTCTTCTCTTTACTATGCCATTTTTTTAAAAATAAAACAAACATATACAATGTAGACAAACACCGTTGGTTGTTTCTTTACTAAAGACAATTATATTGTTTGTATTGATCTATGTTTTCAATTGAAGAAGATTGTTCAAATGTGTATGATAGCCACTCTAAAATATCAATCTGTCTTCTGATTTATGTCAATAGTCTTCCTGATTTTTCAAAAAAATCCTGCCATTTAGTAAGTTTATCACACACTTTAAAAATGTGTATGTATGACTGAATGTGAGTGGGTTATGCGTGTATACGTAAATTATAAAAATTTTAAGAAAAAAAAAAAGAAGTCATTTCATATCATATAACCCACCGTTCTTTGATTGATGCAGAAATGATAAAAAAAATAACATTTAAAATTGTATTCTAAAACAAGACATTGCTGTTTTTATAATCATAAACAATATAAGATATTATAAAAAAATTTGTTTCATAAACGAGTTCTTTAGACATCAATCTTAAGTATAGAATAAATTATCTACATCTCTCATCTATAAGTTTTTAAATGTTAATACATGATACAATAGAAAAAACTTGGAAAAATTATTTAATGTGTTTTACTTAACTTTTTTATAAAAATATACGGAGACAAAGAAGACTCATCACTTATTTGTTTTTTTCTTCAGTAGATACGTTAACTCTCGTAGTGTTTAACTTGTTCTCCGAGAGAAAGTTAAACACTACAAAATAAAAGTAACAATGAATTTTCTATACTGTTTCATGAGTATAGCTGACTGCGTAATATTTATTAAAATATTTTTGAATAAAAATATACAACAACACACACACACACACACCCTCACTACTATTTGTTGAAAACGAAATACATTTTTTAGTTTAAGGAGAAAATCTTTAATTCAATTAGTATTCCATTTTAGTTTAATTTTGTCACCTTAAAAAATTAGTGTCAAAAGTTGTTGAAAACTATGACTACATACTCTATATTTGAGCACAAATTAGTTATATTATTAAACTAGCAACGCATAATTTGACGAGAAACAAATAGTAGTTGTGTATCGAGGAAAAACGCTAAGTAGAAATTACACATCATTTTCTCAAACGATATAATACTCTTCTGTGTATAAAGAAAAGAGAATAGAAAAATACAAGAAAAAAGTGAAAAACGAAAATTTATATGTTATTTTTTATTTAACTATCTTGCTGATCATGATGGTGTATTTTTCAAAGTGAAAGAACACATACACTCATCTACTCTTTAAGTTAAAAAAGAAAAGAAGAAAAAATGCATATTTTTTTTTTTTTAAAAAAAAGTACCATACGTGTTCATTTTAACGACAATATAAACAAAACAAAAAGAAAAGAAAGACTAATAAAACATTTTTTCATAAAGAACACATGTTTTTATTTTTCTATAGAAAAGATAATAGAAAGATCGTCAACGTTAAAAAGAAAATATGAGACAAGGTATCTTTTTATATATATCAGGTAAACTACAAAAACGATTAATTACCTCAAAATAATACAATGTTGAAAATAGAATTTTAACAATGACTCTAATTCATCATCTATACAATAGTTAAGAGTTTTAACACAAAGTAAGATGATGATGTTTAGAATGATAAAACAACTAACTAACATTAGTATTGTACAGTTAATACAAACGTAGACTAGACGTTGGTGACAAATACCACATGAAGAGATTTTAATTTTCAACAAAAAATTTCATTATTTTCTTTTATTGTTTTTTCCTTTTGTGAGTGTCTATACGTGTTTTACATCGAACAATCTACTTCAAGTAATAATTTCTAATTGAACAAAAGTGGTGATGTAGACAATGGTCGAGCATTACGTCCTCGATTTGTCTAATTTTTATCGAAATTATCTCAAATATATGCCCTAAATTCGATTTTCTTACAGTAAATCTTAATATAGAAAATACACATCTTCATCCTACTCACTGACTTACTACTAAAAGTGAATAGTCTGAGGTCATGTGTAGTGTATAAAATGTTTGAAACTGTCATAGTATTTTGTTTTAAATATAATATCCTGAGTGCTTTATTCTGTATTATTATTATTATCCATTACATTAATTACTACTAATTCGTACCATATGTTATTAGAGAAACCATATCATTTACTTCATATTTTGTGTTATATAAAACTCTTCTACTTCATATACTATTTTCATTTATTGTTCATGAAATATCGTTAAATTCTATTTAAACGAGAAAGAAATACATCATGATAAGAAATTTCTACAGTTATTCGCTCGAGTTGTCTACATTTATCTTCGAATACTTTTTAGAAAAAAGTCATATTGTTTTTTTATACCCATTTTATATTCGTATCATCTACTTTTGATATTTGAAAAGAATCTTTTTTATCTCGATTTTTTTCTCATTCATCTCATCTAAATAATATCTTTTCTAGAAAAAATGTCCTTTTTTGTTGTTGTTGTTATTGTTGTTGTTGCTGCTGCGACAATACCTTGGAGTTAGTTAATTGGTTCAAAATGAAAAAGATGAGCTCAATTTGCATATACTCGCTAAATATCGCTGAGCTTTTATTCTTCAAATTTTGTATGATTTTCTCAAATAGAACTACCATAGAAGTATAGAAAAAAATGTGTTTTCATGAATTGGTTAAAATAACGTAGTAATAGAAGAAAGAAAGAGGAGTATATATCTAATGAATAATAATTATGACAATTATTTTCTATGTCATTAGATATGAATGACATTTTTACTATCGATAAACAACATGCAACTATACGACTATTATTTTTGTGTATTAGATTAAGATATTGCGTCAATTTGATAGAACAAAATACAATCGATTTAAATTCGATTTTACAGTGAAGGTCACATAGACATATAGTTTAATAGTAGAAAAAAAAAAAAAAAAAAAAAAAAAAAAAAAAAAAAATGTTAAATAAATTTTTTTTTTAAAGGAAAGGGTTTTTATTTTAATGAGGGGTTTATCCAGAAATTTAAAAAATGACTTTTTATTTTTTATTTCTTCAAATATATAAAATGTCATATTAACTAGATAAAAAAAGAAGAAAATTTTTTTCTTAATTTTATTCTTCAAAATATTTTTCTAATAATTTATTTGACATAAATATAAAATTTCATGTTCACATAACAGAAGTTAAAATATCTCTTTCATTCAAGCAAAGTTCCTAATAAAAATGTTCATTTTATTTCTGTTATAATTTGAGAGAAGCCATTTTGTTTATATTGTAGAATTGCATGTAGAAAAAAAGTAAAAAGAAAAGAAAAGGACAATTTACAATGTATACCACACATAAAACAGTAGTTTACATCTAATATCACTGATTTTTTTTTTTTTTTCTAGTGATTTTTAAAAACAGTCAAGAAATGCTAAGATTAGAGAATAAAAGAGATCAAAATTTTTTTTGTAGACTATTTTTTTCTTTTTCAAAGTGTGAGTCAATTAACTAGTTGTCAAGTACTTTTATTTTTGAAAGAAAGTTTTTTTTTTTTTTTCATTCAACAGAATCATTATAAACGTTGGCTGATGTCTATTTGCAGTTGACGTTATGAGTGTGAATTTCAAAATTGTCGAATGTTTTTTATTGATCTAAATTATAAGCAATCTTATTTACAACATAGAAATGTGTGCGCACTCCAAAAAAGAAATTTTCTTTAGTAAGAAAGACTCCATTTCAATTTGTATAAAGTACATATTTCATTTGAACGAATTTTGACAGGTTAAAAAATACTAATTGAGGATTCATCTTTTCATTACGATTTATCTTAACAACAAAAAAAAAAAGGAAAAAAGAACTTAATTTTAAAAGAACATTTGTATTACAATCGTTATTTACAGACTTATAAATGTGTTAATCAAATAAACACATAGTTTTACAAAAAGTATAACATTAGATAGAAGAAAAAAAGTTTATTTGTGTGTGTATGTGTTTTTTTTTTATGCATCTCTATGACATCCTATTTTTATTCCACTCTTACGATTGAACGAAATCATTTAAATCAAAGAAAAACAACAATCACCATATTTCTTTTCTTCAAAATCATGAAACCTTACATATTCACAAATTTAAGTGGCCAAGTTATTCTTATGCGTTCAATATGCTTCTTTTGTATATAGATATATTATTATTTCTTCACTCTACTAGACAACAATAAATTGTGAACATATTCTTTATACATCATCATCGTTAGTTTTAACATCATGCATTTACATTTATTATTATTAAAAATAGTTGATCATTTGTCATCTGTTTAAAAATATAATGATGATGACCGAATTGGAACAACATCAGCCCCGTTCGAGTATTTTAGAACGTGGTCGAGCTATACGTTTATTAAGAAACGGTGATGCATTTTTTCAAGGACGTTCATTTGTTATTAATCAACGTAAATATCCAATGTTAGAAGTATTTCTTGACGATGCATCACAAACAATGAGAGCAAATTTTGGTGCTGTTCGATGTATTTATACGCCAAAAACTGGTACAAGAGTTAGAGATATATCAGATTTTGAAGATCATCATACCTATGTAGCTGGTGGTGCGGAAAAATTCAAGAAATTACAGTAAGTATTATTCATTACTGACAGTGCGTGATGAAGGAAAAAAGTAGAAGTGTAAATTTTTGGAAGAAAGGTAAAATGGGTTTTGGGTCCCCAAAATGTTGTTAAGAGAAAAGGTATTAGTAGAAAAAGTTAAGAAATGAATAAATAGTCCATAGTGCCCTCTTCAAGATAAGAATCATCAAACTGTTCATTTCTCATGATTTAGGCATGTCATTGAATTTGCTACGAGCTTTGAGACCGTTCTTCTTTTATATGTACAAATCTAAGAAATGAATGATTTATGCCCTTTTATCACAGAGGCATTAAAATTTAAAATAAATAATAAAAATATAATTTTCGCATTTGAAATCAAACGATTATGTAGTATAATATCTCCTGAATTCCTGAAATTATTTGGATCGACTTTAAGTGTGTTATGCAGCTCGAACAGTCTCATGAGAACACTCTGAAATCATTATGTTAACAGAAAGTAGGTTTTCATCTGTTTCACTATATGTTGAAAATGTTTCTCTAATCGCTTTTTGTTTTTGCTGATAATACGTCTAAACCTATTCGTTTTTTAAACGGATAATAGTCTTTACATAACTCACATTGAATACTACGAGAAACTTATGAAAAGTTATAGCCCTTCCAGTCATGGGTAAACATTAAATATCCTAATCTTGCAAGACGGATATTTTCCATTTACAAAAGGTTGTTCGACCTTGATTCGACATCAGATATATAAACAAGATCCAATTATAAACTATTCTAACTATAAATTAATAACAAACAAAGGCAAAAACTAAACAATTTTCAAATAGAAACAATAAATAAAAAATTTCGTGATAAATATTAATCATTCATCTTTTATGTTTAGTTGACTGTCTTTCCTAAAGAAGGAAAACTTTTTAGATATAATCTCGCTTGAATCAAATTATTTGTAGGTCATATCGTTTTCTTAGGGATTTATGATATTTCATTGATCTTTTAGCTATCTCGATATTGCCGAAGGAAAACGAAATCAAAAAGATCGAACGTCACCAAGAGTAAGTTATTTTTTGTCATTTTAGTTATTGTTTTTTTGCGTTTAGTTATCCCTCACGAATCTTAGAATAACAAATATGAATACTTGTCTCTTTTAATTAACAAATGAAAATATTTATCTAGTAAAAAATCATATTTTATTATCAAAAATTACAATATTTACTTTTGAAAAATGTACATAGTAAGTTAAAGATATGATTAAATAGTTGTACTTAAACTATTGTACTAGTACAATTTGAAGAAACTATTATAAAGATAAGACTGTGTAAATGAACATGTATTATAATATATATTTATGTATGTAAAACTAGGCAAAGTAAAATAAAGTATCACATAACTTGAAGTAAAAAAAAAAGAAGCATGTCATCATTGAATTACCTGGCAAAGTTCAGTTTTATAAAAGTATAATTTAGATTCAAAGATATATGGTTTTATTGATGTAACAGTTTAAACATTCACTTCTCTATTATTGTAGCTTCCACCTGTTCGACGTATGGATGTTGAAGGAAGAGCGTTGAAACTAGCACGTTCAGAAAATGTTATTATATAGTGAGTAAAGTAGAATAAAAATCAAACTTGTTTTACTATATCAATATTTTTCTTTTTCTTTTAACTTTAGTGTATATCGAAATGGTGATCCGTTAACGTTACCAGCAAAAATATTACTTGTAAAAAGTACTTTAGCAAATTGGGAATCGGTACTAGACGAAATAACACGAAAAGTTTCATTGACAAATACAGCTGTTCTAAAGTGTGTTTAGATAATTTTTTCTTTTTTTTGCTGAACATATTTCAATTTATTTTTTTATTTATTTACAGATTATATGCCATGAATGGTGAACTAATAACATCAGCACAACAAATGGAATATAATGGGATGTATGTTGCAGCTGGTAAAGAACGTTTTAAACGGATCGATTATCCAGATCCAAAAACATTAAGTCCAAATTCATCACCAAAAATGTCAAGAAAATCGTAAGTGTCCCTTCTTGTATACGATAGAAAATTGCGTTTATAAAATAAAAAAGGAGTCTTCTCGAACAATCTGAATTCACTTGAGAAACTTAGTTAACTATTTTGAGAAAATACGCTCGCTTGTAATCCATAGGTCCAATTATCAATTTCAAGGGTAAGTCTACTACTATAAATGCGCTCTATCTCTGCCATGTGTGCAAAACAATAAATACAAAAGTGTCAGTTTATCTTGTTTTCTAACACAAAACAAAAACAAAAAACGTCATATTAACATGTTGACATAAAGTTCATTAGTTTTACTAAAACATTTGTAGAGAGTAAAACCGACTTATTTTAGTGAACTAAAAAGGGTGAGGATACCCTTTCGACAAAAAAGAGTTGAAGAAAATATTCAATACAACCCGATGCCCGGAAGGTAATAAATAATAACAACAATCTAAAACTTTCTTTTCTTCTTTTAATAATTAATTTATTTATTAATAATAATTAAGCATCCATGCAGTAATGATTGCAGATTAAATGCATGGAACGAATATTTCGTCTAGTATAATAAAATAAAAACATGTTTTTTTTTGTTTTCTATCATTATTCTTCGTTTAAATGACGGCGCTGCTATACTTTTTTCAACAACAACATGGTTGTCATATCTTCTGCTTCTCAATGCGTGCTTAATCAAAGACTATTCAATTTTTATGGATATTTACCATCTTAATTATATTCTAGTTATTCTAATTCGAATGGAACTAATACGCATACTACTACGGCAACATCCAATGCTGGAAGTATCGATGGTCCACATCAGTAAGTGTCAATTAATAAACGATAAATTAGGTTGAAATTTATTCAATTCTTTTTTGTGGTTTTAGTCGTCGTCCAGTAAGAGAAGAATACGATTTTTTTAATAATAAACCGCAACAACATCGACGTGGACCCCCAAGAGAAATAGATTTAGACCGAGGTACTGTTGTATAACGTTACTATCTGTGTAACGGAAAAAAGACGTTTGAAATGGATAAAAAATATGAAGAAATCATATATTTGACTAATGATAAGATAATCAAATTAAACATGTTGTCTTTTTAGATGATGGTGGCGTTTTTAAATCTAAAGGCGTTAATTATCGAGATCGAGTTCGGGAAGTAGAAGATACAAAAGATACAAAAGTGGATCTGCCCGTCGGTTTTCGAGAAATAGAAACAGTTGATGTGAGTCGTTTAGCATATATAATAATAATAAACGTTATATAATGAAAAAGTCTACTATTTTAGGATGAACAACTTTACGGAGCTGTAAGTGGTTTATTAAACAAAAAAAAGATATAATAATTTAACCTTTCCTCATAACTTTCAGAAAACGCCACGTCACTATCGTCATGATGCTCAAGAGGTTATTAATCAAAAAAATCGACAAGTACTTACCGATGTTCATCGCTCACCCGTACGAACGATTAAAGTATGTTAATTAACAATCACATATGGTATGATCGTGTATTTTATTTACATTATTTCTATTTTATTTCTTAGAGTCCAATATCAAATTATGAAGATAAATTTGAAAATCAATTTTCTAACCAAAATGGAAATTATCATCATAAAAATAACAAGGAAAATCACAGTTTAGCACCAATATCTCTTAATTCTCAGAACTATAACGATAATGAAAATTCGGACAGAGGACATGTAGTATCTAGTGGAACACAGGTATAAAAAAACATTTTTCATTGTAAAACTCTCCTAAATAATTAACTCTGCTGAATGATTAACTCTACTAAACAAGCGTAATACTGTCCATGTGTGTACTTGTCTTAGATCTGCTAGCACAATATGGACTATTTTTTTTTCTTACACCCTTTGATTATTTTCTTTCATATTTTTCTAACAATAGTTGACAGAGGACAAAGCAGCAACCGTCATACAATCACATATCAGAGGGCACTTGGCACGAAAACAATATAAACGACTTGATAACAATAATACGGTGATTTTCTGCTTTTCATGGTGGTTTTGCTTACGCTTGTCGTAGTTTTAATTATTTTCAAGCACAAATGCTAGAGCATATGCACCATGTGCTAGTTTTAACGCTTAAACTAAAATTATTATAACAGGTGGAATCAGATCCATATAGACCTATCGGTAATTGAAAACTTAATGGATCTGAACAATGAAACTACTGAAAAGAATTATCAGACACTTTGACTAAACGCTGAAATTATACAACTCATGTAAACTATTCTTTTCTAAGGTTAAAGGTATCATAAAAATCTTTTTTTCGGAAACAGAGTCAATCTCAAAATATACCTATATCAATCGTGGAAATTAACTGATTATACCCATTGATAAAATTCTAGATAGCTCGCTAGGATACGTACTGAAATTTCGAATTTAAATGAAAGAAAGGATTTATTTGTAGGAAGGATCATTAGGAATAGAAGGTATTATAAGTAGCTGATCCTTGTATCTCTAATCCCATATGAATTAGTAATTTGAAATTTCGTGTATATATAGCCCATGTTGTGAAAACCGCTCGAAAATCGTCGGTTATTCGCGATTAATTGCGGTTAACTGTGCGCTTAACCATCGGTTTTTACGCTGCGTTGCTATAGTTTCAGTTGAAATAACCGAGGTTTTGATAACGTGAGAGTTCTCGTCATGAGCTGATTACCCATATCATATCCCGTCCATTTGATTGCGTGATGTCTGATTCCATTTTTCACTAGAATGAAGCTAAATTCTGATTCAAGACGATGAATGTACAGGTTGTTTTTGTCTTAACATGGGATGGTCTATCTACAGACATCACGCAATCAAATGAACGAGACATGATATGGGTAATCAGCTCATGACGAGAACTCTCACGTTGTGAAAACCTCGGTTATTTCAACTGAAACTATAGCAACGCAGCGTAAGAACCGATGGTTAAGCGCACAGTTAACCGCAATTAACCGACGATTTTCACAACATGGGCTATATATATACGAAATTTCAAATTACTAATTCATATGGGATTAGAGATACAAAGATCGACTACTTATAACGTCTTCTATTTCTAATGAGCCCTACTACAAATAAATCTTTTTACAAAGATCAGTTAACGGCTGTTGTAATCATAAGAATCGGAGAAGAGGCAACCTGTTTTAGCATTGATTAGTAAATGCTGTAACCTGCTGATTTTTATGTTGTTTGTATATATATATATATTTTCTTACACTTATGCTTTTATGCTTTTTACACATGCTATTTAGACAACTTATCATGGTTGAGCACACGTTAGCCAAAAATGTAGTTCAGAACAAAAATGTGAATAAAAAGGTATAAAGATATTCCCATTTTTACACATTTGAATGATCATCTACAATTTTCACTAAAAGTTCAAATGATATAGTAGTAATATAGCTATTTATTGCAATGCGCTCATATACAAAATTGAATCTTAAATAGAATAAATGTTGTGCTAATTGAAGCTGTTATCAAAAAATCACTATTATATCATATTTAACTCTTTTCTCTCATTTCTAGGTTCATGAGTATGATGATTAAAGATAGAATTACTTAAAAATAGAAGTCATATAAAATTAGTGCAACTGATAAATCTCAACTCAATATGGATGAAATTAGATCATCCTCATCAATAAAAGTTGACAATCGCTCATCGTACGTTTGTTTCTTCTTTTGCTATGTTCAATCATTCCTTTACTCTATGTAAATAGTAGCGTATTTCCCAAAATGTGTGACAAAAAATAATATCTACAAAAATCAATATTAATTAGAGAAAAAGAAATGAGCAGACAAAATTAGCTGTGGGTTTTTTTCTACAATTTTTGTTGTTGTTGTTGTTGTTGCTGTGTTGTTATCTTCTTCTCTTCTCCGTTTTTCTCTACTTTATTTCATTATTCGTAAGATGACGATGCTTTTAGTTCATCAACAATTCATAAATTTCGAATTAAATTTGGAATAAGTTCTTACATTCTATATTGTTAAGCTATAATTTATTCTTTGACATCTGACTTGACTAAATATCTCTTTTTTTTACACGAGGTAATTAAGATAAAGTTTTTGATAACCATATCGGTATATATATATATTCGAGACATAACAGCAGTTTCGTCTTAGGAACTTGTAATTGAATGAAAATAACTCTTCAGTTCAGTTCGTATCGATGTCTTCATAATGAAAGTTATCGGGATAATACATTTGATATTAGTTTTATCCTTTTACTTTTTAGCAAGCATCGGCAACTTCTTATCATTGTAAGTCTAAAGCGGCTCTGATGTTACATTGTTGCTTCTAAAAACAAGTAATTTGATTTTTCATATAAAATATCGCCTGAAAATCATGACAAATACCTACTTTTCATTTAAAAGCATGCGTAAAAAAATTCTACTTTCGTTTATTATCTATCCATGATACATATTTTCTTTGGTTTTCAGAGACTTGTTCTTATATTTTCAACATAAAAAAAACTAGAACATGTCGGAAACCAGTGTGAAACAGATAGATGTGAAACCCTTTTTGCCTCATAATAAGTGACGGTGAGTCTCATCAACCGTTCATATCCGTTAAAAAGATTATCAGAAAAAAAACAGAAAAAAAAATCAACTGTTTAAAGATTATACATTAATGAAAAAAAAGCAACAACGATAAAACTTAACAAACCAGCACAAATTACCACAAATATGCGGCAAAATAATGATAGATTAAAAAATAAGTCAGCAGCAGACAAATTTGTAAGTGAACAAACTGAAAATAACAACCAGTTATGAGTACTGTTAAACTACAGTCTGACTAAGAAAAAAAAGAACAATTTATTTTCGAGTCATTCGCAAATATCTCCAGATAAAAAGTCAATTATTTAGAAAATGCTATTAATCTCAAAAAGAGTTGACATGTACAAAAATGTATTGCTATTCATATATGTGTACATGGAACAAAAATGGAAGATAAATAGTCTACCTTTTTAAATCTTATTATGGCATTCTGATGTTATACTGCTGATTTCAGTAAAATAAAAGTAGATGCTGAGAAAAATATTTATCTGACACTGACCAGGCATATACCGAAGGTCCAATTTTTTTTTATTATTTTTTTTCGAAAGATGTTAGAAATTTTTTTTTCTTGCAGAAATACTATGAAGTCTAATTTTTTTATGCCACTCAGTGGTCAAGAAAATTAAAATTTTCAAAGATTTTCAGCCATGATAAAATTATTAATGGAAGAATATTTTCTTGTTCCTCATCCCAATATTAACGATCCTAACTTTGGATACTAAGACTTCTATCCCTGGAGAGAAAAAAACGGAACACATTACGATTGTTGACAGTGCTAAATAACAAAGCAAAATAAAAACTATACTCAAGAGACCATACTGTATAAAATCACTTAGCCTCTAAATATTTACGAATGATCAGCGAGATCTTGTCAAAAATATATCATATAATCTCACAATTAGCTTCTGTACCTCAATAAATACATGAAATAAAGGAAAGACGAAAGCATTATAAAGTAAAAACACTGGAATAAGACCAGTAATAAAAGGAAAGAAGAGAACAGATGGTGCTTATTACTATGCGGCGCACTAATTCTCATAAAAAATAAATTTGAATAAATAATCAGAAAATCGAATTTCATAAAATGTACAAAATATCGCAATTATAACAAAACAAAAAAAAAATTGCAAGAAAAAAAGAAGAAAAAAGAAAAGAAACAAACAACAAAGGAAAATGAAAGACGTTTTGCTGTGCTCAGTCACTACGTTCAACTAGAATATACGTGAAAAATAAAAGGCACGTTTAGAAAAAAAAAATACAAGTTATGAGACGACAGAAGAAGAAAAAAAGGTATGATTATCTTTTGTACAAGTATTATGAGTGTGTATAAGAATGCATATAGACAACATAAACCATGAGCTAAAAATTTTGAGAGAAAAATGTCAATTTCAAAAGTCTAAAATTAGGTATGAATGTCTAATATTAGATAGATCAGATTGAAGAACATAATAAAATCAAAACTACTTTCAGTTTGTAAAGATCAAATTGATCACAATCAATATTAATTGTAAATAATTTGAAACTGATCGTTCAAAGTTCACTTACAATATATAAGTAAAACAGATAAATGCTGAACAAAGAAAAAAATATATGTTTAACAATAAGAATAAGAGTAACCATTACATGTTTTCTTCTTATAAGAAATCGACAACTACAATATAAAAGTACTGAGAGAGAGAAAAGAAGAAAAAAAACACATACTGGAAGAAGAGAGAAAGTAATGATACTTATCATCACTGTTTAACATAACCTAAATCATCAGCTAATTGATTAATTAATACGGGAGTTAATTTTAATAAATCGTATGTAAACATATGATCATCTTTTGTTATATCAACTAGTCCACTTCTTTTAAAAAAATGAACAAATTTTTCAAGTATGGCATCATGATTAGTATCACATGAAAATAAATTATATATAAACGCTATTTTTGTTCTCAATGATTCATCAGTTAAAACTGATGGAAAATCATCGTTATCATCATCTAATTCTTCTTCCACCTGTTCATCACTATCAATTTCACCATCATCAGAAGAATGTAAATGACCATTTGTCAATGGTATTGGTGCTGTTTCAGCTTTGATAAACGTGCATGATACAGTCTTTTGAATAATAGAATTATTATTTGTATCATTATTATTATTATTATTATTATCATCGTCAATATCCATTTCGATCACTTTACAATCATCTTCACTACGAAATATATGTTGTTCTTCTGGTGATGTTAAATATGTTTGTTCAACAGAACGAGGTGGCGGTTGTGACTCAGGTGTTATAGGATGATTAAAAGGACTTATTGATAATAGTGTCGGTGATGATGATGTTGTTTCTATTTTTGTTTGTGTTTCTTCTTTTATTTTAATATCTTCTTGATGTTGATATCGATATGGACTTTTCGATTTTGTACGACGACTGTGATGTGTTCGACTTTCATCCGTACGTTGATAACTATTATTTCGATATGAATCACTTTTAGAATTACGACGGTGGCTACTATCATTGAATGAACGACGAGATGATGAATGATGATAACGACTTCTTGAACGAGAGCGAGAGCGAGAGCGTTCTAAAGATGAGGTAAAAAGAAAATATTAAATGATACATAATATTAAAAAAAGTGTAAAAATCATACCTCGATCATTGTATCTTCGTGATCTACTTGGTGAACTACGATAATTACTACTTCCATTTTTTCCTTTTGATGATGATCCATGATTAGTATAAGATGAACTTCTTGAATTTGACCGACCACTATTGCTTGACCGACGATAGTCCTATAATTAAAGTATATATTATGTTTTATCTATATTTCTTCCTATTTAACGATCGTACTTTATCTGAATCAAATGACGGTGATGGAGATCGATATCGTGGTGGAGTGTATTCTTTTTTTGGTTGCTGTGGAGGTTGTTTACGTGGTATCTTACCAAGATTACTTAATGCCTTTGATACTGGTTGCTCCAGTTTTGGTGAATTTTGTTGTTCTGATTTGATTGTATTTAATGAAGATTTTTTCAATAAACTATTTTGGTTTGATTGTCTAGGTGAAATATTTTCATCCTTAGTGGTAGATGATTCTGATTTAACTGTTATTGTCGCATTTGTATTTGATAATGGCTCATTTTTAATCTCAACAACAGCACGAGAGCAAAGAGCTTCTACCTTTACTGTTCCCGTCAAGGAAGATGATAAAGGTTTAACTGGCGTTTTTATGGAATTAGCAATTGATGGTGACTGGACAATATTAAGCTAAACAGAATATATTTAATAGATAAAAATACATGTACATATAGAGATAAAAAAACATCAGTTTCCACTCACTTGGTTATCGACATTATCCACATTATCGTTGTCACGTTTTATTGTCATTTCATTCAGCTCAGCGATTGTTGATAAGGGTGATTTGGTTGTTATACTATTTTTAATTAAATTTAGTTTATTTTTTGTCGTTGACTTCTCTGTTGGTTTCTTCTCTTTCTCGTCGTTTGATTGTATTGCATTTGATACAGATGTATTTTTTGCTATCGGTGTGGTGCTGATTTTAGTTGAATTATTGTCCAAATCTAATTTTTTCTCGATTGTCGTGTGTTTCTTATTTGATAACGAAGTATTTATTAATGATAGTTTTTTTGTATTATTCAATATTTCCTTCTTTTTCTCATCTTTTTTAATGGAATCTGCTGGCTCAATCGATGTTACTAATGGTTTGGGTGACAATGATACTTCATTTTTAATTTCTTGTTGCAAAACATCATTTGAAACAACTTTTAATTTAGTAGTAACACTTTGCGGTAGCGTTTTATCAGTTTGTTGTTGTGATAGCGATGATTTTGTTGATACTTTTTTAGTAGTCGATGTTTCTTTGATTGTTGATTTTACTTCGTCTTGAATGGGATCTGGTTTAATAACCGGTAGATCTAAAGAAATTAAAATGGAAGATTGTTAAAGAAAATCTGTCATAAAAACGAATTCAAAGTCTCATACCAGTTATATCTACTTTCGTTTGATCCGTTAATTTTGTTTTATGATTTGTTATTTTCGTTGTATCATCCTCTATAGTACATGACTTAACTTTTTGTTGTTTTACCGTGGTTGATGGAATTGAAATTTTGTTGTTTAAATTTGATTTTGATACATTTTTATTTTTGGGTGTGATCTCTTGTGATGATGCTACTATCGCTTCGGCAACATTATTTCCGCCTGATGTATTCGCTGTGGATGGCAATGTCTTTTTTGGTTCTATAATAACATTGGATAGTGAATTCATTGTTGTTCGTTGTTTCTTTGCAGTAGATAATACAGGATCTGGAGAAGTAGAAGAACGTTTTGTTGTTAACGTTAGACTGGTTGATGATGTACATGATTGTTTATTTGATGAAACTTTTGCTTTAGTGTTTGTACGAGCTAATTTTGACGACTTCGACGGTGTCAGACAACTGATAGATGATGATTCGCCATTATGAGTTGCATTCGTCTCAAATGATTTCGTATATCCAACGGTATCAGATGATTCACAGGCCACTGGTTCTCCTTCAAAATCATTACCAACATCTCGTTTCGGGCCACTGTCAAGGATTTTCTAAAAGAGAAAAGAATACATCATTGTGTAATGGAATATGTCATTGTTGTGCATTAACACAACGTGAGAACTCAAATCTATTGGGTAAAGATGCGACTATATGCTCTCTTTTACCCAAAATTCTGAACTTGAAAAAGAAAAAACTTTATTCAAAATAGTGAGATATTCTGTATATTTCATTAAAACTAGACTACAACTATGTCTGTAGACTTTGCAGGAAAATATTCTATGAGATCATAAGAGAAGCCCAAATCGGATAAAACAGTATAACATATTTACTAGTTGACAATATAGTATGATAGTTTACAATGGCGTAGCCAGAAAATTTTTTAAGAAGTGGAAAATAAAAAGTTTTTGTTTTTTGTTTCAAGTATTTCTCCTTGGATACGCAACTGACAGATTATGACTATCAAATGATATTCTTGCTCAGTTGCTTTAGACATTATTAAAAGTATTATTCGAGTGTTCAATTCACTTACAACAACAGTCAAAGTACAATGTGACTGTTCTTTCTTCCCACGAATTAATGATATATCACCATTATATTTACTCGTTTGATACTTATCGACCACATAATTGGTTTTTAACTTATCCATTCTTTCTCCAACATACATTTACTATAGTTGTTATAACATATATATATAAACCTAATCAATCACCTTAACCATCATACTAAAGAAGCAAAGGAGCAGTAGATGACAGAAAAAAATTATCAAAAAATAAAAAAAATAAATTGAAAACAAACCAGGGAAACTCATAACCCTAATGGTATTCTTTTGAATGGATTTAAAGTGATTCATCAATATAATTTTAACCTGAGTAGAAATAACAGCTGATCTTGTCTGCTTTCTTATTCACATACTTTTTTCTTATTTGCTCATGTGATTAACGCGTGCTCGCTTGACTGAGAAAGAACTTTTTTTTTACATATACCGAAAATAAAAACGTGAATATGGTATACAGATTGTTTGGGTAGCAGATGGACAGAAAATTTAAAAATACAAAATAGGAAAAAAAGCAGCGCAGTAAGCAGTCAGGTAAAACGTGGATACCATCAACTACACGAAAATTGCGCAACTTTTTGATTAAAACTATATAGTAGACAGATATCTACGAGTGAAAAAGCGAATGCATCATATTTCCAACATACTCTTCCTTTTTAGTAATTTTTTCAATCCGTTTAACAACAAAATCACATTGTTTATGAAAGATTAATAGAAGAGCACACAGGTTTTCTGTTCTGAAGTATGACGTCATTTTATAGCATATGAGATGCAGAATCGCAATTTAGAGAGAAGTAAAGCAATTTCAACATAATATTTTAAGTCGTTTAATCAGCAAATGTTTTGCATGTAGAGAAATATTATCGATCTGAATCTGAACGGCGTACTAAAAAAGAAAATTTGATCAACAGTGGCAAGCTCAAATAGGCTTCGCCAGTTTTAAAATCGGCGACGAGGCTAACATCTATATCTACATGCTTTCCTATTTGATCAATGTTTAAAAGAGCATAAAAATTCTATTTTCCACTACACTTCACACATTTTTCAGTATTATAAACCACACATTTAAATAACACTAAAATTGGTAATAGAAAATACTTTAAATCTATTCTTAGAATAAACGAATAAATGCACTTGTCTTCTACGCATGTCACCAACAACAAAAAAAAATGTTTGGGCGGAAAAGTGTTTGTGACCTCAAGAATAACATGAAATATTAAAAAATGCTGCTACCCAAGCACTAAAAGTATACCATGACTTTTCAGATGTGACACAAATTCGTACATTACATATAAAACCAACAAAATTTATTGTAAAAGTAGTGACTATCTCTACTTTACGTAAAGATTCATAAATAGCTTAAGAGTTTTATCATTAGAAGGACGTTTTCTAGAAAATTAAGCGAATTAATTAATCATGTATTCAACTCCGTACAATCACAGATTGTTTACTTAAAATAATAAAAAAACCTTGGCAGAGTAGCACCTTCAGGTGCTAAAAGGTGGAACCCCCAATACTGAGACGTCTAGTCACGTTAAGAGGTTTTGTGTGCCTTTATAAGAGGTTGTGTCCTCCGGGGGGCAGAGGGGTCAAATTTATCCTAAAAGCCAGCGGTTTGGGACAAATACACTTATTACACCCCCCTCATATATCGACTATTTCAGTTTAAATAGCCTCTGCGGAGTTCACTGAGTGCATTCTTAACAGTCTCTGATCGATAGATCAAGGCATATATGAATCA